AAGTTCATTATAGCCACAAAGAAGAAAGAAGCATGAAAGGCCAGTAAGATTACACATGTTATGTTGATAACTCGTTAGGCACAAAACATTACGTATTAAACACACCATTTCACCCGTCGACAATGGTTTGAAATACTCATAGCACCCTAAAGAAAAGGAACAACACAAACTATATAGTCGGATCGGATGCCATCATGCATTTAAATTATCAGGTCACTTTCACCATGCTAGTCTCAGGGCTGTAGTCAGAAAATGACAGTATGTTTACAATCTTTGAAGTCAGAGAGAGAGAGAGATGACGCAAACGAACTTTTTAAGCTATGTATATCTGTATATGTACGAATATTTAGATTTGGCACGTGAAAACCAAATGTGTAGATTGTCTTGAAATCTACTAGTGCAGTATGATAATTTGCAAGGTCCATATATGTACTGCAATCTAAATTATTGGTCAAAGTTGCATCTTTGGGATAGTGTCATTGTCTATATAACTATTTCATAACTAGAGGAAGAAATTGCTAATGTTGTACTGAGGAACTGTGTACATGAGGCAGCTAGAGGGAGACTATTTTATTCAACTCTTCCGCATGGTTGTCCTTGTACCAAAGCAAAAATTGCACCCAACATAAGCATTCTCACAAACTGTGGAAGCAGACAGAATGTGATTGTTCATATTATGCCAACAGCTTTGTGCAAGCGAAGATCACATAAGCTAAAATCATACTATTTCTCAATCAAATTTTCGTCATACCAGACAATTATTTATGCTAGAAGAACTAACCCTTGCAAGATTCACTTCAATAGTTTAGTAAGTATACAATGCAATAAACTTATTTTGGAAAACTCAGGATTGTCCATACATGATGATAGATATAGCAAAGACACTCTGGCATGAATCTCAGGTTAGCTGCCTCGCCCCATATGAGCAGATAAAGACCCATATAGAGAAGCTTGCGTTGTTGAACCTCCTGTTGGATAGTCGGCAACCTAGATTGGAAATGATCAATTCATGAGTCAATCAGTATTGAGCAGAGCATATAACTACAGCTCTTTACAGAATCCTGAGCATCTCATACCATAAGCTGCTTTTGCGGCCAAGATATTTGCACCATCTCTTGTAATTCTTAAATAGCTTCTTCATTACTGTATCCAGCGCTCGGTCATCCAACTGAGAACATCAGCCAGTAAGAAATGGGTAAGTGCCACAAGCATGAAGCACCACATGTGTTTTATATGATATTGATCAAAGGGGATACCTTTGGTTGTTGATCAAGTTTGGGAATCTGTCTTATGTGCACGTTGGCAAGCAAGAGTATGAGATGCTCCCTTTGGTTGGATACGTTATCTTTCTGCGGAGTGATGAGCAAAGTTAGAGAGCATGGATTCAGAGGTCAGGTCACAAACAGTTATGAGCCAGAGGATGGTGAAAAGATCATCCAAGTGTGATAACCTGGAATCCAAACATGGCCTGAAGCCAGGCAAGAAGATCTGCATCGGGCTTCTTGTCGTGTTCCTTGGGCCATGGCAGACCTCTGGTGTTGCGAAGAGCGTGGAAAGCAGCTTGGATCTACACACATAATTATGACACATGCAAGGCAACATATAAGTCATAGCGTAAATGACTAACCCTCATGTGAGACTATGAATGGCAGCAAGTTGATATGAAGTAGGTGGCAACCTCAGGATAGCGCATGATAGGCTGGTTGGCGCCGTCAGGATCAAGCGGGAGGATATTGTAAGGAAGGTATAGCTTCTTCTTTTCCTCGACCTGGTTGTGCGTCTCCAGAATCTGCAAGGGGCGGTTGTGTTGTGTGAATAGGGAATTAAGGAGAGGTGCAATAGGAAGATGCAACCAACCAGTAGAAGCGAAATGATAACAAAGCTACTAAGGTAGTGATGGTTACCGACTGATCGACTTCGATTTTTTGGGAGACATTGACGGCTTTGAGGACCTCAAAGAGCACGGCGGCAGTTTGATAAGCTTTGGTGAGCTGAGCCCTGAGAATGGATGGATGGAATGATCGGTCGATTTGGTAATAATAAGTTTATGGTTACTTTTATATTTAGAACGGCTAAGTAATAATTAATGGAATAAAATAAAGGAGGAAGAGACAGACCGGTCGGCTTTATCAGCAGCGTTTTGAAGCGCTTGAATGTACTTCTTGTAGTAGTGCTGGTAGAAGCTCTGCATTTCTCTGGCGTCACTCTGCTTGACCCTGCCCTTGAGCGTGGGATCGTTCTCCCTCTCGAGCCTCTGCAGCAGGGCGGTTTTGAACTGGCGGACACCACGGCCGCTGGAGGTGGGGTCGAGGCGATGCGCCTTCTCGAAGGCGTAGAAGCGGCCTGGAGAGGGAGGGGGAGGGGGAGGGGGAGGGGGAGGGGGAATTATTGATTGATTGCAGAGAAAAAGGGAAGCAGAAGAGGCAAACAAACTGAAAACGAAACGAATTCTACTACTACTCACAGAGGTAGGCTACTCGCGGGTTGCTGGCCTCGACCTCATTGGCCACACGCAGGATGGGCGCGATCTCGACAAGCGACGACGGGACGACCTCGCTGTCGAATATGGAGTCGCCGAGGTTGCCGGCGGTCTGGGTGCGGTAGATCCTCCTGGCGCCGGCGGCGGCGGGGGAGGCGGAGGAGGAGTCTCCCCCGGGGGCCATCCTGCGGCCCCCGCCGCCCCCCGAGGAGGACGCCATGGGTATGGGCGGGTCCTCGGCTACTGACTAGCGTAGTAGAGCAGCAGCAGCAGCAAGTGAATGGCAATCGATGTTTTTCTTCCTCCTCCTCTTGCTGATGATCAATCCGCTCTCTCTGCCTCCCTCCCCTGCAACAGCCAGACTTGAATTAAACCCGCATGGAACGGGAAAGCAGAGCCAGTTTATATATATAATTTGATTTGAGATGAAACTTGAAAAAAAAGGAAAACAAAAAACTGACCGAGGGAGAGAGATACATACAGATACTCCTATTTGGGAAGGAAAGAGGGGGCGCGGAGAGCGAGTCGCCTCCGGACGGATGGATCGTGCGGGAGGAGGAATTGATTTCTGGGGGAGGAGGAAGAGGAAAGGTGCTGCCTCCGCCGCGTCTTCCCCCTGGTATGGTACCCTGTGGTGCTGGTGCAGGTGCTGGACTGCTGGTGCGAAGAAGAGAAGAGGAGAGAAGCGCTCCCGGTGGGAGTGCGAGCTTTGCTTTGCTTCGCTGTGTGCTCTGCTGCTTTCCCAGCTTTCCCTCTCCTCTCCTTCCCCCGAAAAGCATGGCCGCCTGCTTTCACTCGCCTCACTTTTTTTGCGGTGTAGGGGGCAGCAGCCCTGCCCAGACCAGTGGCGGTGGGTACACGTACAGACGGCAGAGGCGTAGAGCAACCCAAGAGACGAGACCCGCTTCCTCGACGTCGACGGCGACGTCGGTACCTCGCGCCCCGGCTTCTTTTACATGTTCGTTTGGTTCGATTTGACTTATAAATCATGACCGAAAGTAGCGTTGAGTAGCTTGATACGAACATAGAGAAAAATATTATTTATTGCTTGATAAATTAACTTATAAGCTAAATATAAACCAGCGAACAGGCTATTTGAATTTCACCCCTCTATCCAAATTTTACTGGCCCCGCCTATATTTATGCTCTGTTTAGAACGGGAGAATTTTTTTTTCGAAAATTAAATGATTCCTGTAGAATTCATGTACTGTACTGTCTCTACAAAATTCCTTTGTTTCTTTTCCGTTGCCATTGCAGGGCGGCAGGCGGTGTGGGCTTAGCTTTCCCTAAGTAAGCAGGTCAAAGAGAGGGAGAATTTTGAGTTTCACGCACTCAGCAGTCACCTGCTAGTCTGATGATTAGGTATGTCAGTCATATGTGGCGGTAGGTCGGACCGAAAAGGATCATGCTCCTCGTCTCTTCTCTTCTTTCCTATCTACTGCTGCGTGGCTTAATGGCGAAGCTACCTCACATCCATTCTGTGGATACTCTCATCTCATCTATATCGTCTATGGAAAATAATAATATGTGTCCCATATATATAGTAATTTGATTTGAAAATAGTATGTTGTCTTAAATGGGCATGTTCGTTTTTTTTTACAAAATGTTACGTCGTAGTAGTTCATAACAAATCCAATAAAACATGTAAATCTAAGAATTTGATAATCAAATCAAAAGTTAAAAAAAGGCTTGTCTAAGATCCACTTACATTTTGGAACTACTAGTGCACTAGCACGAGTTTCACTTGCTCTTCTTTTTAAATGAACTCCTCCTATATTTCAGGTGCCTGAACTTTAAGATTATTTTAGACAACATTCTTATACAAAACAACTAGTACAAGTAAAATTGTTATTTTTGTGATTTGTTATTTGTCTTTGTATCTAATCTATCAATTTTTTGTTCTTGTCTGATTATAGAAATAATTTCAAATTGTTAATTGTCTTTGTGCAAGAATAGGTTTTGTCGAGTTTGTGATTTTGTTTATTGTTTAAAGGGTATATCATTCTCTATATAAATCGAAAATTGCAGAGTATGCCTATATAAATTACAATGATCTAAAGCTACAATTTCAGTATAAAATATATGTAATAATTATTGTCTTAAAGGAAGCTAAAATTTAGGCACATGAATTTTAGCAAGTCCCTTTTAAATGAAAGGATGTTTTCCTGCTATATATTGGCAAATGGGAAAAATGAAAGGCAAAAAGGCAACAAGGTCCTAGGCCAGCCTCGGAAAAAGGGAGTGAAAGGGAGCCCAGAGCGGCCGCCAGCCAGCCCATCCCAGCCCATAAAATGCTGTGTTATGATGATGGGCCCCGGCCTATCCTACCGGCGGGCGGCGACTAATCGGCAATTCGGCCTCGCCTCGTCGCAGTCCGCCGCCGCCGCCGCCGCCGCCGCCGCCGGGGTCTCAGAGTAAACCCTACCGGACCTATCGTGGCGCGACTGCGGGAGCTGCTTGCTTCTGCTGTTGCTCTCTCGCTCCGTCCCTCTCCTCAAGCGGTCAAGCCCGCTGCCCGCCTATGGAGACCTCGCTGCGCCTGCGCAGTGGCGGCGGCCTCCGCATCCACGCCAAGGAGAAGCTGCCCCTCGGCCACAGCTCGCTGCTGCAGGTGCAGCTGCCCTTCCTCCTCCTCCCTTTAGTTAGTTAGTTTCTGCCTTCCAATCCAACATTCATTCAGTCGTCTCACCCTCTCAATTTCATCTCATCTGATTGGGTTCGGTTGTGTTTGGTTCGATTCGATCCCACGGCTGCCGCGCAGGCTCATGCGGAGCTCGACCTCCACAAAAGCCCCGCCGGAGTTACTGCCCCGAGTTACCTCGCTCTCTTCGTCAGGCACTTCTACCCCCAGGTCAGCCGTCAGCTCATTCCCTCTCCATGCCTGCCAACCAATCCTTCCTTTTACAAGTAATAACCAAACCAATTCGCCAAAAAAATAAAATAAAAATGCCATGTCTAGCTATCAGCCAACCTCGGAGCTGGCGTCCAGTTGCACAACGGCGATGACCTCACCTACAACCTTCGTGCCAAGAAGGCCGTCCTGTTCAAACCAGACAATGGCTTCCTAGGCCTAAACCTCAAAGGACGCCTACTTATCGACAAAGAGTTCAAGCCGGTAACTTTCTCGCGTATAGCAAAGCAAAAATACGCCTCCGGTCAGTCGTGTCCTGTCCAGTGTCCCGTGTGATCTTATTAACCACACCACAACCTTGCTCTCAGTCTCAACCTGTGCTCCTTGGTCCTTGCAGACAAAGACATCTGGAGCCGTTGAATTGGCCTGGACCATACTTGACTTCAAACAGGGCCAAGATGTAAGGCTCAAAGTTGGCTACGAATTGTATGACAAGGTAATCAGACCATCCGTATTACCATCCGCTTCATTTATGCACGAGATGCAAAATGTTCCATCGGCAAGCAAACCGCCTAAACAGCTGCTTCCTTTTAGTGATTTTTTATGCATAGTAGAATGCATGGGTGTAGGGCGGTGAAACATGATTAACCATGAACAAATGCAGTGTTCAAAAGCCGCAAATATTCACAAGCTGAGTGAGTTATCTAGTCATATAAGTTTCAGTTAGATTGCAAATTATTTCTCTGATTCTTTTCCCCTTACATTCCTCTGGGTGATGCTGGTTCACTCCTGCCTATGACCATAGCACACTAACATGATTGCTTCTGTCCAGATCACTTTTGACTTAGTTAGCCACTCATTTCTGTGGGCAGTATTAGCACAGAGCACTTTCTCTAAAAATAAATTTACAGCCAGGATTGCTTATTTGTCACCAGCGAGGTTACCATATGTTCACTGGAGAAACCTTTGGGGAAAACGTGTGTATCGCCCTGAGTGCAAGTAAATTGATGTGTTGTTTTTAACACCTCTTGGTGTTTGACATTCGTAGCATCCTAGTTTGTTGTTGTATCAAGGCATTCCCTTTTTGTTGTGGCTATCTATCTTGCTGATATACTTCGAAGTAGTATGCTCTAAAAAAAGCAGTACATTTGGTCTGATGCTACTGATTTGAGGCTAAACATGAGAGAGAGAGAGAGAGAGAGAGAGAGAGAGAAGAGATTGTCTTTGTGCCTTGTCGTGATCTTTTAAAATTATTATTGTTATTTGACTGCAGGTGCCTTATTTCCAGCTTAAAGAAAACAGTTGGACGCTGAATGCTTATATGGATGGGAAATGGGATGTTCGATTTGAAATGTGATGAGAATCCACTTTTCAGAAGTGTGTGTAGGGTCTTATTAGCATCATTTCTTAAGCTACCAATTCTGTACTGCACTGGAGACTGTTGATACCATTAATCCATTTTTATGCAAACTGGAAACTATTCAGTCGCTTCTCATCATGTATGGAGTACAGAACCAGAAACTGGTTTGGAAGCGTACAGTTGGCTCACTGCATCAGCTTTGGTAGTCTGTACTATAATATAATAGTGTATATATATATATATATATAGCCTTAATAATTTATTCATTCGCCCGCGCAAAAGACAGGAAGAGGAACCTCTGTTGGGTGTGGTGGTGGCATCTCTAGTGCCTGAAGAAGACTGAAAACTGAAAAGGGAGTGAGTGTGAGGCAGGCTAGTTGAAGCATCTCTAGTGCTCTGTTGACTAACTGTGCGCCTGCTGCTACTTCTCATCTGCCAGACAGTCTCGTGTTGCTTACCCGTCTCCGTCTGTCTATAAAACCAGACCCAGACCCAGGCTCATCGTGCTCGCCTCGGTGGTAGTAGTAGACTGAAACCCCTCGCCTTGCTGGCCTGGCCGTGGCCGAACAAGCAGCTAAGCTACCATGCGCACTCCGGCGGGCCTCCTCCACTCAGCCATCGCTGACACCCCATCTCCGGCTGCTTCTTTGCCTCTCCTGCTCCCTGCTCATGCAGAGGAGCAGCAACAGCAGCAGGCCATCTCCGTGGACTCCGACACGGTGGTCATCCTGGCGTCCCTCCTCTGCGCCCTCATCTGCGTGGCCGGCCTTGCGCTCGTCGCCCGGTGCGCCTGCCGCAGAGGAGGAGCCTCTGTGTCACTGGTGGCCAGTGGCGGCGGCAACAGCTCTGGCGGCAGGTCGTCCGCCCAGCCGCCCAGGGGACTGGAGAAGGCGGCCATCGAGGCGCTGCCCACCGTCTCCGTCTCTTCTTCCCTGAATAAACTGAAAGGAAGGACAAGAGAGGACGACAAGGAGTGCGCCATCTGCCTGGCGGCGTTCGCGGAGGGAGACCAGCTCCGTGTGCTGCCGCGCTGCGCCCACGGCTTCCACGCGGCCTGCATCGATACCTGGCTCGCCGCCCACGCCAGCTGCCCCTCTTGCCGCGCCACCATCGTCTCCGTCGTCTCGCCATCGCCGCCGCTGTGCCGAAGGTGCGGGGCAGCCTGCTGCGACCTGCAGGACGCCATGACAGCACCGGAGCCTGCTGCTGCTGCAGGCTTGCTTACTCCTTGGCCGATCGATGGAGCGAGCTTGTCATCATCCACATCCATCCACTGATGGGAAAGGAAATGGCCAAGGAATGAAGATGCAAAGAATTCATCCACGTCTTGGATCCGATCCATGGAAACGTAATAATGTCATTCATTGGATACAATACAAGCAAGCACGTAATCAACCCGCATATGGCCATGTAATTCATGTAGAAACTGCCTGTCCAGTTTCATTCCACTCGTATAAACTGTACATCCAGCGCAGGAACTGGAACAGGACATCAAGAATTCGTGGCTGCACTGCAGGCACTACACTTTGTACGTACGTGAGCGCCTTTGACCTTTGTGTTCTACGGAGTCCTCCCTCCATCCCATCATTCTCACTTCCTCTAAACATTTACCATTTTTTACTTTGACCGATTATACGTAAAAGAATATTAATATTTATAATGCATAATTAGTGCCATTAGATGAATTAATGAATATATTTTCATAATAAATTTATTTAGTGATACAAATGTTGCTAATATTTTCTATAAAGATGGTCAAACTTGAGTAATTTTGACCAACATGCATCTCATAATGTCATTCTTTTAAGAACGGAGGGAGTATATTTTTTTTTTCTCAATCTTTGTCTTTGTCTATCTATAGGAAATACTCTAGCGGCTTTCAAATTAAAAGAATGCAATTCTAGATTTAAACCAAGTCAAACTTTCTTTAAGTTTAACTAAGTTTATAAAAAAGTTTATATCAACATTTAAATCTCCAAATACATTTATTATGAAAATATATTCTATAATTATTAATCTAATGATACTTATTCGTATCATAAATGATACTATTTTTTCGTATAAATTTGATCAAACTAAAATTTGTTTGGCATCTCGAAAACAAGAATTGTATTCTTTTTTGGTAGTAATTAGTTCAAAATATTGTATATCTAAAAATAGATGGGATGGTAATTAGTTAGTAGTACTCCATCCATTCTAATAAATTATAAAAATGTACTTATTATAATTTGGAACGGAGTGAGTAGTATATTAAAAACGGATGGAGTAATACTAATATAAAGTATTGTAGTTGTGTTTCTTCAGACTTTGACGATTACTGTCTCTTAAAAATAGTAATATTTACTCTTCTACTACATATGGTTGCGTTGAAAATAAATAGAAGATGTGTAGTGCGGACAAATCTGCTGCTGTTGGAGAGAACATGCTATCTATCTATCCCTTATTCTCTTTAGCTCCTGGCCGATGCTTTAATTTCTCCATTTCAGCCGCTGCTAGCTGCTATCTGCATCTGCATCTGTGCGCAAGGGTGCTTCTAACACGATGATGGCCTGATGGGGCCCCCTTTGGCTCGCTTGACCTCGTAAAGCAAGGCGATAAGTTTAATTTCAGCCGTTGCAAGTGCTACCTCCACTATCATGCAAATATACTCGCTCCACTTTGGTTCATGCTACTCTCTCTGTCTCCAGTAGTAGCATGGGCATCTAAACGATGGTTTAGTCTGTTTAAACATTGCACAATGGTCTGTCTCTGTCGTTTCTGTTTATTCAGTTTAGACGGTCATTTTGCCTATTTAATTGACCGTTTAGATCGCATAATGACTAAACGGTAGGTATCTTACTTTTATATTTAACATTTAGGATAACAATACCAATAGTAAATCATTCTTCTTTCATCATACCTTATGGGGCATAAATATTCATAACAATTATTTGTACACACAAATTGATCGACTACACCTTGATCATTACTGCCCTAGCCTATCTTTGCCCAAACAGTGTTGGTATTATGCCACATCACAACCACCTTTGCCGCTAATATCTGGCAGCACCTATCGACCTTGTTGGCCCGCCCAATCTGCCACCAGCCCACCACAATCGATTAGCCACTGTGCAAGGGCCTCCCTAGCACGACCATCACATTCCAAACCTAAACTTTGACCATCGCATTCCAAACATGCAGAGTCGCATGTCGCATGTTTTTTTTTTTGTGCGCTACGGGATGTACATGTATATAGTGCGCATGTTTTCTTTGGAATTTTTGTTAGGCAGGAGAACATAGTTTGTAAACTCACCGTCGTCGTTTTGGGTCTATGGTTGAGCATAAGGGCAATGACAATGTTTATTATAAAAAAAAACTTATCATTGTCCTTATGCTACAAGGTTAAAGGACCAAATGGTCCATATGCAGCAGATGACATTAGTTATGACAGACATCACAACGTTTGAAACATAGGAAATAAAAACCAGTCCCACTACTAAAAAAAAATTCGCTCATCTCCTTTAGGGCATGTTTAGAACGCAGGAAAATTTTATGTTCCTGTGTTTTTCTTGTGTAAGGAAAATGGATCCTAGGCCCGTTTACTTTGTATTTTGGTGTTTGATGACCAACACAACCAAATTAGACTAATAATTTTACAAGTGATTGTTTTGTAGTTCAATAGGGTGCAAGACGTGACTTGGACAAAGACGACGTGATGATCCGATGATCAACACCATGAGCAAGATCTTAGAAGTACAAGAGAAGACCCAAGATATCTAGCAAAGTCCAAGCACGAAGATAGGAATTAAGTTGGACACAAGATCGCGAAGAAACGAGCTCACAGAGATGACCGGACGCTGGCGGAAAGCGACCGGACGCTCCGATCAAGAGGCTCAGCAACAGCAGGCGCGACCGAACGCTAGCGACAAATCGACCAGAAGCAAGACTGCAGCGTCCGATCAAGTATAGAAAGGTTCCAGAGCGACGAAATTGCGACCGGTGGCATGTGACCGGACGCTGGCAGCGTCCGATCAGTTGATCCCGGCTCCAACGGTCGGGACAACCGGACGCGTCCGGTCAGGACGTGATTAGCGTCCGATCAGTAGCAGAAAAGCGGGATTTCGTTCCCAACGGCTACTTTCTTAGTGGGGCTTATAAATACACCCCCAACCGCCCAAATGAAGGGTGTGGAGCTGAGGAAACATATCAAGGGTGTTGATACACCATTTTAGTGATCTCCACTTGCATAGTGCTTAGTGATTTATTAGGTGATTAGCGTAAGTGCTTTGCGAAGTGCTTAGGTTGATTAGACCACCGCTTATGCGCTTGCTCTAGACTTAGGCCTAGTGTTTAGTGAGGTTTGCATACCTCTTACCACTTGGTGCTTGCGCGCACCATTGTTGTACATCGGAGGGGCTTGTAGTCTTGCGAGATCACACCAACCACGTTTATGGTGTGGCCGCCACCGTATACCGGAGGGAACAAGGCCTACGATGTTTCGGCCAGAAGCTTGATAGTGAAGATGAAGGGAGCATCCGGGAGAGGCTTGCCGAAAGGCACGTCAGAGACCCACTTGCGCGTGGGGAAGGCCCGAGGCTATCCACGGAGTTACCCGACCGGAAGCTTGGCCCTTGCGAGGGATTCCTTGCAAGGGGCTCCAACGAGGACTAGAGAAAAGTTTGTGCGCTTCTCAATACCTTGTTGAAAATACAAAAGTCATCGACGGGAGTTTGCATATCTCTACCTTGCTCTTTAGCTTCCGCATTTACATTGATTGTATTACTCCTTTTGTGGTAGAGGTAGCAACACGCTAGCAAAATCGTAGTTGCACATTTAGATAGTTTATCTTTTTCAAAGGTTTTGCTAAGGTTAGAAAAAGAGGCCATAGTTAAGAGTTAGAATTTTAAGTTGCCTAATTCACCCACCCCCTCTTAGGTGTTACGGTCCCCTACATCCTGTAAAACTGAACTAATTACCGTGAAATTCATGTGCTATTTATGTGAAATTTCTACGTTCCAAACAGACCCTTAACTTCCCCCGTTTCCTCATCATCAGACTTCCACCCATGGCATTCTCACTCCTGAAAACCCCTACTTTCCATGCCTAGCTCAAGCCTACATGGCTTAGATCTAGGAGCAAGAGAGCGGTGAGTACGCAAAAGGCGACAACAAGCCATGGGGAGGCGTGCTCGAGGTGAGCGGCCAGTCGACCACGAGCAAGGCGGATGGAGTGCCTGCCTCCTTTAATTTTCTCACTGGATCAAGCCCCAAGCCATGTAGTGCAGTGGGTCTTTGGCGAGGAGGCTGGATCTTGAGATGGAAAGGGGCCTTGTTGCTTCCTCTCCCTCGTCAAGCTCACGGCAAGGAGCTGCCTAACACACGATGGTAAGGGAAATGAAATAATTGTTTACTCTTATGGGTGGCCCTTAAACTTGTATATAGGGACTTGCTAGCACCCGGACGTCCGATCTAGAGCACTAGCATCGGGCGGTACTCCCGAACCCATGCCTGATGCACCCATCCCGCTCCAGAGGCCACGCGGGCCCACGCATGCACGGGGACCACCCCAAGCCCTCTCTATTTCACGTGCCCGCAGCACCACCACCAGGCGCGTGATGCGGTGACCCACGGTGGCATGGTGACCTACGATGGCGCACTAGCAGCAACACGTGCTTCCCTAAGATGTACTTTTGAAAAATCCAAATGAAATGCTTGCAACATACATCTAAAAAAGATGAAACACTTGAAACATGCGCGTATAGCCATAGCAACACGTGCAACACCAGATATACTTTTGAAACATCCAGATGCAACACTTGCAACATATAAAAGAAGATAGATGAAACACTTGCAAAAAACACTTGAAAACATATCAAAACATACGCAACATCCAAATAAAACACTTGCAACATATGTGTAAAACATATGCAACATCTAAATAAACACACTTGCAACATACGTGTGAAAAATAGATGAAACATTGGGAACAAATGCTTGCAACATAGGTGTACAAACCATTGCAACAAATGCAACATCCTGATCTACTTTTGCAACATCTGTATTAAACACTTACAACATACCTCTGAAACATTTGAAATGTACCCTTGCAATATGCTCTTTCAACGCAACATCTCTTTGTTGCTTGGGATAAATGGAGTTTCGTCGGCGTGTGAAGTTCATCGGTCTAGAGCTTGTCGGTGGCACGGTGCGACCGACCAGGGGACACGATAGTTGTCAAGCGCGGCGGCCAGAGCAGAGCTGTCCTCCGTTTCTTTGAGCCCGACGATGGAGCTTTGTGTTTCGGTGGACCGGCCAAGGGACACCGTAGCCTTGGAGCGGACCAAGCAGGGGGCAGCTGTGGACCGGCCAAGGGGCGCGATGGGGCGGTGGCCAGACCGGAGCCGCCCTCCGTGTCTTTGAGCCTAGCGATGGAGCTTCATGTCGTTAGTGGACCGACTAGGGGACATCGCAGCCTTGGCGCGGATCGGGCAGGGGGCAGTTGTGGATCGCCCAGGGGAGCGCAATGGGGTGGCTGCTGGCCACGGGGCACCGTGTATTACGGACTCTGGGGGGCGCTGGTGAGGCTGGTGGTCGGCGGAGGAAACCCACAGTTGCGGCGCTGCAGAGCGCGGTCGCAATAGAGAGACTTCTGAAGAATGGAGCAGCAGGATAATGTTAGAGGCGAGTGGATAAGGGGATACGCCAACTGGGCTGGTGCCACAGCCCGTGAAGGCAATGTTCAGACAATCGGACATCCTGACCGGAGCATTACCAATGTATATAGGCAACTTTGGGTGGCTTATGCCTAGCCCCAACACAAAACACGGTAGATGTTAGTCCCATGCTCCACGCACACCACAAGCCTCTAGTTCACGTAGAATAGTGGTTCTGCTGAGCAGCATAGGTACTTGTAGAAGTAATAAGTGCATGATGTGACAAAAGTTTCTGGTTTGTGTTGTGGAAGATGGTATGATGATTGTTTTACATGTTTTCACATAGGTTGAGGAAGGACTAGAAAGGCTTCTGACAATAATAAAGTTGTTTTTCCTAGCAAAATGTTGGCTTGCGCTATGAGAGGAATAGCTCACGTCCTCTCTACCTTTGTGGACAACAACTTTTCAGCCGAAGCCAACGACTGTGATAGTTCACATTGAGGCTGGCTTTATAGACTGTTTTTTTTGAAGGGAAGGGAGACTTATATTAAATCCTAGCACAATACATCCTTAAATTACACATGTAAAAAATCTGAATAAAAAATACATAATATTCTATCTAGATTCATACATAGTCTTCTTCCACAATGATTTCTCTAGCTCGAACGCCGGAGCCAAAGTGTAGTCATTATGCCGAATCTAATGATCAATCCAGAACATTGGACATGCCGCAAGATACAACGCTTCGGAACTAGTTCAAAACGCATCTAAATCGCTGAAAGAATATCGTAGTTGCATCGTCGGGTATGACATAGAATGCAGATTCATCACCTTGATACCTTGAATTCCTCTCTACCACCATTGACAATGAGATCGATCACCCAGAGTTGTTGTCCTCGTAGGGGCTAGTTGCTGTCCTCGTAAGGGCTCCCTGAAGCACCCATCCTCTTGCAGATAAAGGCCATAAATTGGCCGTCTACCGATGAAATCGATGTCTGCAACGGTGATCTTGTCGTGGCAGTCACCGAAGTCATCGCAGGAAACACGATCCCGACTAAAAATCATTTGATTTCGTCGGTAGATTTATTTGGCTAAACCCTATAAACAAACTGGATATAAAACTACGAAAAAGAGAGATGGGTTGCCTCTCATTACCTCCGGCAGGAGAGGAAGAAGAAGAGAAGCCCTAGGCGCAGGCGCGGCGGTACATCATCTATTGGTTGCTCATCCAAGTCACCAGGAATCGTGTCACATTATATTGGTTTAATTTGCCGCCGCACCTGCTTGTGGCTTGTGCCATGTCCTTTTTGTCGTCGAAGCCTGTTGCCCCTGCGCATTCGGCTGATTCTAGGCAGGCAGAGATTGGCTGCCCTGCCCTTGTAGGTGACCATCATCACCCATTCATTCAGCCGGTGCTGCAAAGCAACTGCAAGGTGTTGAGTAGAGCAATGCTGTGCTGTGCATAGCCTTCATATCAGGTCGAAGCTCGTCCACGGCGGCCATGGAAAACCGTAATTGCTACTACTACATTATTAGGAGACAAGCTCACCACAAAGAGGCACGACGTGACAGTTTTAGCCGGACACAGTGTTTAACCATCAGCCGAACAGCTGTATATACATACGGAGTATATAGAATCAAGCACAAACAAAAAAAAAAAACACAATGGATAGTAATAAGTGTGACGATTAATCAGAATTCAATTCAATCAAATCCAAAAATCCAATTCAATGGTGATCCTGCTCTGCATCGGCCGCCATGGCTGGCAGCCCTCTGGCTCCGACGTTGAAGAACTCGATGATGACCTCGAGGGGCAGGCCCTTGGTCTCCGGCACGCGCAGCGCCACGAAGGCCAGCGCCAGACAGCAGACGACGGCGTAGAAGCCGAACACCCCAGTGAGCCCCACCCATCTGAGCATCACCGGCAGGCTGTAGGTGACGGCGATGTCACCGAGCCAGAAGGCTAGCGAGCAGATGGCGATGCAGAGCCCCCGCACCCGCGTCGGGAAGATCTCGGCGCACAGGATGTTGGGGATGGGCCCGAACCCCATGACGAAGCAGCACAGGTACACCATGACGCTCCCCGTGGCCACCGCCGCGTGCGCCGTCGCCGCCATCGGCACCACGCTCGCCGCCACCAGCGCCGCCAGCGATGCGATCAGCACCGGGATCGTCCACAGCAGCAGGCTCCGCCGCCCCGACGCGTCCATCAGCCGCATCGCCACGCCGATGGTGGGCAGCATCAGCAGCGTGGTCAGCCCGCTGATGAGGATGGACGTGGAGTCGGCGCTCAGCCCCAGGCTCGCCAGCAGCACGCTGACGCCGGCCTGGTCCAGGATCTGCGGCGTGTAGTAGAGCACGCCGTTGATGCCCGAGAACTGCTGCAGCACCTGCATCGTGACGCCGCACACCAGCGCGTGACGCACCCCCGGCTCCAGGAGCTCGCGCCACCGCGCCGCGCCGCCGCCACTGGCGGCCTCCTCTGACACCGCCGCTGGGTGCACGAACGCCGGTCCGTGCACATCCCCGTCCCCCTGCTGCTTGGCGGCGTGCTGGTACAGCGCCGACTGGCTCACCAGCGCCGCCGCGTGCACGCCGTCCTCGCCGCCGCCGCCCGCCTCCTCGTGCAGGTACATCCTCTTCACGCCGCCCTCCGGCCCGTCCGTGCACTTCCACGCCAGCTGCCAGCCGCCGCCGATGCCCATGGTGGTGGCCGTGTCGCCTCCTCCCGTCATGCTGCTCAGCCCTCGGGCGTCCAGCAGCGGCGCGCGGAGATCCCCCGTGCCGCTGGCATCGTCGTCCGACTGGCAGCCGTCGCCGTGGCCGCCGGCGATCTCCTCGTCCCAGTCCAGGGGCGCCTGCTTGTTGTCGTGGAAACTGAGCATGCTGCCGAGGTTGGAGAAGAGCATGCTGCCGCGGGTGCTCGTGGCGTCGGCCGCGACGGGGGGCTTGAGGTCGTGCACGCTGCCGAGGAGCGCGACGACGGGGTCCTTGAGGTGGTCCAGCATGCTGCCCTGGCGCGAGCCCAGGCCGATGGCGCTTCCCAGCATGCTGCCCTGCGCGCCGAGCGGCAGCGGCTGCGCCACCCACGACATGCCGCGCTCGGGCCCGTACAGGACTGTCGCGTTGGCGTTCTCGTCGGCGGGGCCCGGGGGCCCGACGATGTACTCCTCGATGGCCGTGTCTCCAGCGGTTCCCAGGCCTTCGACTAGGAGCGCCATCTCCCCCGCGACGTCGTCCCGTCCCCTGAGCATCTGGAGCACGGTCCTGGCCTCCTTCATCCTGCCCTTGCTGACGAGCCAGCGTGGGGACTCCGGGAGGTAGCAGACGGTGAGGAGCAGGTAGAGGAGGGAGAGGAGTGAGAGGACGCCGAGCATGAGGCGCCAGTCCGGTTGCGGCGCCAGCGTCATGGAGAAGACCATGCAGTAGGCGAGGAACATGCCGCCGGATCCCGTGAACTGCGGGAGCGTGTTGAGGAGACCGCGGATCTCGGGCGGCGCCGTCTCGGAGATGTAGACGGGGACGAGCGTGACGGCGAGTCCGATGGCGAAGCCGTCGACGAGGCGCGCGAGGAGGAGGACGTGCACGCTGGGGGACCAGAGCATGAGGAGGCCCGCGAGGAAGTAGAGCAGCGAGGAGGCGATGAGCATGGGGCGGCGACCGACGGAATCGGAGACGGGCCCGGAGAAGGTGGTGATGAGGGTGGCGCCGATGAGGGAGGTGGCGACGAGGAGGCCCTCCACGGCGGGCTGGGACTCGAGGTGGAAGTCGCGCTTGATGTAGAGGACGGCGCCCGCGATGGTGGCGTTGTCCCATCCCTGCAGCATGTTGCCGATCGCCGCGGCGATGGCCACCAGCACCGCGCCACGCATGGTGGTGTCGGTGGTGGAGCAGGCTGCTTGCTGATCGTCGATAGATGAAGCAATGCAACAGTGCGCGGAAGTTACGAATGCGCTAGCAATGCGAGCCCATGCAAACTAAACTATTACAAAATGCTGCTGCTCCTGCAGCTGTTGGAAGGAGATGATGAAGAAGAAGATCGAGGAGGAGATTGAGATCTACCACAGGCGAGGCGGTGTCGCTTCCTTCCATTTAAATAGGCTACTAGTGATGCAAGACAACAGTCCAAGGCCAGGAGAGGAGGGAAGCATTGGATCGCCTCTCTTTTTTTCCCCTTTCCTTTCTCAAAGCTAGTAGTGAAATGAAATAGGAAATAAGAGTTAAGTTGGCAATTACTCATTTTGCCAACAATTTGTCATCGCGCATCACTTGCTGTATAGTGTTCATTAGCACTAATTAATCCCCCCGGCCTGTATCATCATCACCAATCGCTGCACTGAGCTTGAATGAAATCTTGACTTTGCAAATGTAATGCAGAGACGAGCACCAACCAGCACTATTTTGCTCAAAAAAAAAGAGCACCATGTTTCATTATTATATCCAAAAAAGAAATACAAGGTCTATTTTTTCGATAATATAATGCTATTTATGACATGACGAAGAAATGGGAGGGAGGCAGAAAAGTAAAATGTTAGTGGGGAGAGAGTACGCCACTACGGCCGCAAGGGAGTGGTTGTGCCACGTGTGAATGACTAGTCAGATGGACTAGCTAGCTAGAGTAGCTAGCAATGCAAGGCAAGAGGGGCTTTGTCTGAAGTCTGAACTGATGCAGCAGGCCTGAGTCGTTGGCATGTCCGTGCGTCCAGCCAGCCAGCCAGCCAGCCAGCCAGCCCTGCGACTGCGATCAGATGCAGATCAGAATATCACAGCTCAGATTCATCAGATCCCTGCTAGCTCTTCCCTCTTGCAAATTGGCGCCAATTCCAACGTGGTCGTGGTTACCACCACCCCGCCTGCTGCTGCCAATTCCAATCTGGAGTCTGGACTTGGCCTGCCTCCGGCGGCAGATGATCTGAAGCCAAGCAATCGCCCTCCAAATATCACAAGAATTCAAACCTCTATCTACCTCCTTTTCCCCCAGCTGCACAAAAACCAGTACTGTTCGTACCAAATCGAAACCAATTCACAATTCAGGCATCACCACCTAACAGCACCACCTTTTCTTTTTCCTTCAAAACAAGGATGCTTCAACTAACATCTGCCGTGGCAGCCCGTGCGGTTTAATTCATGTTCCACGCTTGTCAAAATGGAGCTTCGGAAAACCTTACCTTGATGCGGCCTCGTTTGGAACACACTTTTGTTTTCTTCCCTTCTTTCTGTTACTGCGGTTTTTTATGTGAAATCAAACTGATTCCTATAAATTTCTCGTGTGAATCCTATGAGATTCTTGCGTTTTGAACAGGCACGATGTTTTCGTTATCTTCTTTTCTGGGGATAAAAAGTAGTGTCCGTGTCCCACCCTGTCAAATTTATGGTCTCAACATTTTCGTTCTTTTTTTTTGTAATATTTAGACTCGTGTCACCATTATTCCGTTTATATGTGCCACTGCCATAAATTGAAACTTGTTCGATACATGGCACTTTGAAATGGTACAACGGTGCATAAATGCAACAAGTTTTATGTAATGATGGCATGGATCTAAATATTGCAGAAGCAATGACGATAAATGTTGAAATTGTAACTGAGGGCCTGTTTGGAACGAGGGATTCGTAGAGGAATTTCAAAGGAAAGTCATTCCAGAGTTTTGATGACGTCACTGACCGTTTGGATCAAAGAAATCAGACTTTACCGTTCCTCCGGAAAGGGCAGCATGCTTCACAAAACAAAGGAATCAGAACATCCACCGGAAGCCGATGGAATTTTTCCAGCGGCGCTTGCGTGCACGCTCACGGGCTAATCAAGCTCATGATGACGGGTGCTGCAATTTACAGTAGCCATTGAGTGAAGATGCATGCATCTCTATTTTTTTATTATCTACATGTATTAATTAGACAAAAGTAAGTGGTTGCATCATACGTCCATGTAGCACACTTTTTAGGATACTACACCTGCTAATAAGTAGTTAGCTCTTATTTACTCTAAACAACGCTTACGGCAAACCAATAGATTCCTATGTTATTAGTATTCCTGTGTTCCAAACACCAATTCCTATAAAAATCCTGTATTTTTCGATCATCTGTTTTACACCTCTATTCCTTTTCTATTCCTGTGTTTTCTCCGATTCCTATGTTTTATATTCCTCTGTTCTAAACAGGCCCTGAAACAGTGGTACGGGCCTCATTATTCCACTCCTTTCCTTTTCTTCCCTTTCCCTAACTGTTCCATCAATTTAATTATTGAATGATAATAACTAGATTAAAATTCAAGCTTCCTCTCGATGATTTATAGGGCACTGAAAAACTAGGTATTGCCACTTGGGCACTAAGCTGAGTCACTGCTTCATAGGAGTAGAATAGTCATCAGATACGAAAAGAACCATGCATTCTAACAACGAATATATATCAGAAATAATGGAGATTTGTAAAAACGAATATATCAATGAAAGGCATCCCAATTGCGCCCATCATCTATCATTTCCGGGTTTGCGTGTATATATCCTTTTGCTGTTTCAAACTACGTATATATCTAAGCATACATATATGCATGATAAGTACTCACTAGTAGTTTTTGATGTAATAGTATATATGTTGTTTAATCTGTCTGCTCCCGATAAGCTTGGCATGCAATTGTAGGAACTAGCATTTCAACTTTTATTAATCACCAATCACTCCTTCTATAATACGATTTATTTAAGTATAAAGTGTGTGTTATTATATATGCTATTTCTGACATGGAGCTGACGAGGTGCCTGAGTCGCCAGTGGGCGGTGGACTCGGGTTTATGTTTTATCAGTTTGGGATGGAGGGAGTATATTTTTTTCTAGAAAAAAAGAGTATTATTGATGTACATATGGATAATGACACTTGTATCAATGAAGAAGAAAATACAATAAACCCTTTTTATTGCATAAATAAATGACCTACACTTAATACATGCACTTGTCTCCTATAGAAATTATAATTTTTGCATTAAGGAGTACATGTTATGACTTATTAGGTTTAGTACTGAGCCGGGACACATCAGAGCATTTGCAGGGAAAGAACTGCCCGACCCCCAAGCGCTCCCCAACCCCTCCGGCCGCCGCCGCCGCCATTCTTCGGCGTGCGGCGGTGGCGGCGCCCAAAAACAGGCTTCCCGCCGCATCCCCATCCCTCTCCCCTCTCCTCCCCCACCACACCTCCTCTTCTCCAACAACTCCGGCGACTAGGATCGTGTTCGAGGCGGCTCTGGGACTTTCTTGACTGGATCTCGCGAGCTCTGCTCCGGATCTAGTGTTTGTCTCGGTGCCTGCAGACTGGCCGAGGGAGGGCGCGCTGGCGACCCCCTCTTTGCCAAGGGCGGGACTGGTGGCCGTCGGGCCTGACCCGGGACTGCTGGGTCCTGATCTTAGCGCCGGGGCCACCGGATCTTGCAACCATGGTTCGCGAGGACGTCGCCACGGGCCTGGGTGCCGCGCTTGCGCCAACGCGGTCTCCGTGCGGGGTGCCGTGAGTGGCCCGCTCCGCGGCGGGTGGCCACTGATCGGCGGGCACCGTATCCCGCCCGCGCTCGGCACGCCCAATTCCGCACTCGACCGGCTCCACCCCTGGCCCGTCTGCGCGCCCTGTGCCGCAACCGGCGCCTGGCCCCCGACCCGCGCCCGTTCGGTGCTGCGTCTGCGCGGCCTCGACCCCCCACGGAGGGCTCCAGTGCAGGTCGCAGCCGTCGCGGACGGGGCTCCGTGGGTGCGTGCGATGCATCTTCTGGCGGCGGATGGCCGGATCCGGGCCTCCTGGGACCGGATCTATCGTGCGCCCCTCCTCTGCGGCGACCGGCGGCGTGGGCTGCTAGGGGTGAAAACCCCGCTAGGCTTCTTCCCTTGGGCCGACGACGGTGGCGCGCCAGCGTCATCACCTTCTTGGAGGCGTCGTCAAATGCTTGATTTGCAGTTTGGGGTTGATGGGGCAAGTTTGGGGACGAAAGTCTCTTGTGGGTGCTCCTCCCAACGAAGTTGGCGTCCGCAGATGTCATCACCTTCTTGAAGGCTTCGTTGATGCACTCCGCTTCATCCTATCACGCCGTCCTTCCGTCGGGGCCGCTCCTCGCTTGTGCTGTGCCTGCCTGTGCTTTAGCTTCCGCCTCGCTTTGGTTTGTCCACCTCGGGTGTTGGTGTCGCCGCAGTTGCCTTCTTCTTCGCAGCGGCTACCTGGTCGCTTACGGATGGATGCAGCTTTCTACCGGTGGATGCTTTGCCACCACGGCCTTACCCACCTTCTGTTGGTGACAATTGCGTGGATGTATCTTTCTTTGGCAGGCATAGTTGGTTGCAGTTTTGAGGTGGAGGTCCCCCCTCCCCCCTCGTGTATTCTTGTTGTTCGTTTGTGTCTTTAGGATTCCGCCAATGATCCTAGGATTACTTATGAGTCATTTGTATCAGTGTTCCGGCTTTTCTTTTGGCTTTCCCTCTTAATGAAAAACGGGTAAAAGACCCGATCGAGAAAATAAAAGTACTGAGCCGGGAGAAAGCAGGCCTCCTATATACACGCGCACAGAAAGGAACTTCGATCGTGCTCATCACTCAGTCAGTCCAGCAAGCTTAAGTACTACCTCTGTCCGGTTAAGAATGCAATTCTGGGTCTTTTTTTATATCCGTGTCCAAAGTTTGACCACGTATATAGGTAAAAATATTAATATTTTTTACACTAAATAAATGTATTATGAAAATATATCCCACAACAAATCTAATGATGCTAATTTTATGTCATAACTATTTATATTTTTTTATATATAATTAGTCAAATTTGGTGTACTAAAACGTTACGCTGTGTTAGAATTGTATTCTTTTGCGGATGGAGGGAGTATACTAAAAACCTGGCTCTTGGATCCTCATCA